TTCATTGACTGTTCCATGAACTCTTGCTTTCTTATTCAGGCCGCCTATGTGTTATCCAAATACCAGTACTTCGTCTGCCCAGTGGAATACCGAAGTGATATAAACTCCTTCGTTACAGAATGCGAACCCTCAGAACTGTTCCAGCTTCAGAGTTACTCGCTTCCTCCCTTTCTAAAGGCAGTGTTGAGATGGGTAAGATAAAGATGGTGGTGGATCCTCCACACTAAAGATTAAGTTTCGTTTAAAAGTAGGATTAAGATTTTTACAAGAAATTGACTTCTGTACAATTTTCAATTCTCTGATACAGAAGTTGGTTTCATTGTCTGCTTAGCATCAATAATGTATTCTCTCCTTGTGTAATTTCCCTTTCTTGAACGTAAAATGAATATTATCATAAACCAGTTGTGTATTAGGAGTTTACTTGCTTATGGTTTGAATACTGATGGTCATTTATCTTGTATTTGTTTTGAAAACATTTTTAAATGTTCCTTAGATTTCTACAAATTGGATGAGTTTTCACATGTAACTGGCATGAATTGATTCAATTTAAAAATTAAAATTGACCAGCTCAAAGAGTCCCTGATTTTTAGGACTCTTTAGCACAGAAAGCTAGCTGCTGCTTCTAAAAACAGTTTCTCTTCCAAAAGCACACAGCTTCCATTTAAAGGCAACCTTGAGGCCTCACAAGAAAGGATTTTGACATGCTGTCCAGTTAGAACCCTGCTGATCTATGCCAGCAAGACTGGTGGGTGGTTACTTAAAATGGGTAATCAAATAATTGTGTGTGTGTNAAAAATTCATTATACTATAACTTGTTCCTCATAAAACTGAAATTTCAAAGTCCACAGCTATAGAAATTAATTATTTAATATTAAAATTAAATTGACTATTTAATATCTTTCTTGGCAATATTCTCCTAGTATGTTAGTTTATTTATAAATTTTGCTCTGCTTAATTGCTAAATGGGCAACTTCAGTTGATATTTAACGTTTCTAATAATGTCTTGGCAAGTGTTTTGTTCTGGACTAGGCTGCAGTGTAATTCAAAGAGTTATATTGGTTCATTATGAGTCATAACCTGTGTAAATATTTGTCACTTAATCATATGAACTTTATATTCTGCTGACTTTTTTTTTTTTTTTTAAGGTTCCTTGTCCCAATATCAAGTGTTATCTGCAATGACATAGCTGCTTACCTTTTTGGGTTTTTTTTTGGGAGAACTCCATTAATTAAGGTAAGGGGAAAATATCAAGCAAGCCACTACCATAACCTTAAGGATTAGCCACTGGAGAAAATTTGCAGCAATTTGGTGCTCTTGCACATTTTTTATTTTCCTTGGCTGCACTTAGCAGCCAGAAGGTAGGGGCAGTGAGCCGTATTTCCCAATGATGCCATCTGGGTTCATCACATATACTGTAGGCTCCTCAATAATGACCTGACTCCATTAGTTATCCTTCTTTCATGAGGGCTCATTTCATCTTGCTGCTGTTTCTCTTCCCTTGGCTATTGTGTGGTTTGTTATTCCTCTCCCCAACAGCATTATACACAAGCCTTTTCTTCAGCTCTCCCTTCAGCTGTCTCATCTACCCCCCTCTTATGAAACTGTTTGAAAGTGTACATTGCACCATCGTCACAATCTTCATATCATTTGTAAGACTTTTACACCCAAACTTATTTCAAAAAAAAAAAAAGAAAGAATTGAGTCCCTGCAATAAAATACTGATAATGCAAGTAATATGGAAAAGTTAAGGGAAAGGAAAATACACATGAGCAGACCGTGTCATTTTTGCCTTAGATTAGGTCAGTTGAGGCAAAGAAGGAAATCAATTAGGTTATAACTTCTCAAGAAACAAACCAGTTCTTTACGGAACAACAGACCTTGTCCTCCGAAAAACCTTCCATAAATTCTTTCCCACATAGGCTTCCAGCACATAGCATCAGGCTGAGCTGTAAGGATACAAGCCAGCTATATATTTTTTAAAAGTTTCTAGAACTGCTTGAGCACAAGAGCAAGTAATTAAGTATTCAAGGTTGCTATGCCAGCTGAGAAGCTTTTGGCTTAGGAAGCCTTCAGAGAGAAGAAGAAGACTCCCTGTCTGATTGTGAATATAGATTTCTAGTGAATTTATCAGGCTGGGTTAGTTGTATAATATATTCAGGTGTAATTAAGCACGTTCATTTCTAAATCAATATGCTATGGATCCATTTAATTTGATAAGCTATCTTTAAAATAATCAGCAGGCACTTTTGTACTGGAGTCAGCTCCCACTTCATGGCAATAACACTGAATTACCTGTCCTAAGAGAGGGTGTGTATCAGTCCCTCCACTATGGCAGAATTGTCAGCTCTGTCAAGGAACCATTTCTGCCACCAACCCTCGTGACTTTGAGCTCTAGGAACATCACAACAAGAGGTCTATAAAGAGTTCATGTAGCTTAGCTATCACTTGTTTCTATCTACAGAATCTTCCCTCAGTTATTTATTTGGCTTCTGTCCCAATGTTTCGCCAAAAGGATCATCACAGGAGCCATCAGTGATCTGATGACCAACTCCCCACACCCCAGTCCTTATGCTATAGGCCCCTCAGGCCGTGAGCGCAGCCCACCTCTAAATATTCCTCCTGCCGCTGCATCACCAAAGTTCCAGACACATTCCTCCAGATTCCCCTGCCTGAATGTCCCATTGACCGAGAAACATTAGCTCTGACCTGCAACAAACAGTATCTATTCTTAGAAGCACGACATTCTCCTTTCTTCATGGAGACAGATATAGATTGTGACCAAAGGGAGAAGGATAGGCGAATACTTGTAGAGCAAATACAGGAGCTGCGGCTGTGGACCATTTTAGAAAGAGGTCTGTTGTTTGTATGGCCTTTTGGGAATATACGGATATCTGGTGTGCTGCAGTGTCCATGTTCTGTTATGCTCATTCTATTTTTGCTATATGTCAACTGTTTGACGGCCTAATACTACTAGAGAGATTTGCACAAATAAATCAGGATCGTAGAATGAAGGGAAAAGGGTTGCAAAGCCATTCCAGTACGAAAAAAAGGAAGCAGAGATGTACAGGGTATTGTGGGCATTCACTGAATAGAGTTTGCATGTGTATTGTGTTTTTGAGTGCAATAACTCTTTTCAATTTTATTTGGCCTTTTCTAGCTGTCTCCTAAAAAGACTTGGGAAGGATTCATTGGCGGTTTCTTTTCCACAGTCGTATTTGGATTCATTGTGAGTTTTACTAGGATTTTTATTTTACTTACATTTTGAAAAGTGGTAGCAAGTTTATCCATCTATCCTAAACCTAAAATAACAACACCACAAAATGCTAATAATGTATGTATTGAAAACCACTAAACAGAATCTATTCTGCACCTCAGTACCTCTCACCCTGGCCTCATATCAGAACCCTCCAGGGAGCTCACACAGTATCTATGTCCCAGCCCTATCCCAGGTCAGTGAACTCCCCCAGTTGATTCTAATGTACAACTAGGCCTTGAGACCCACTGCTGGGCTGTTAGGTTTTGGCAGCTTCTAACAGCTGTTCTGCCTTGTGGGGGACACAGGTGCTGGGACAGGTGGTGGCTTTGAGTAAAAGCAGGGAATGCAAATAATGTTGAAGAGCTCTGCCTCCTTAACACATGCTGCCACTTGGCTTAGCAGGTGCTCACTGCTGGGAGTGCAACTTGCAGGAAAAGTATGTTAAATTATTATGCTAAGTGAAATAAGTCAGACAGAAAAAGTCGAGAACCGTATGACTTCACTGATATAAGAGAATCGTATGACTTCACTGATATAAAACTGGGGATATAAAACTGAAATCAACAAAGGAACAAGACAAACAAATAAAGAAACAAAAACTCATAGACACAGACAGTAGTTTAGTGGTTACCAGAGGGTAAGCGGGGAGTGGGTGGTGGATGAGGGTAAAGGGGATCAAATACATGGTGATGGGAGGAGAACTGACTCTGGGTGGTGAACACACAATGTGATATATAGATGATGTATTATAGAATTGTACACCTGAAATCTATGTAACTTTACTAACCATTGTCATCCCAATAAGTTTTAATTAAAAAAATAAATAAATAATGATGTTCACTTTTAGCCATGACTAATGGATCATGTGAATATTTTAAGAATTAGTTTGCAGTTATGCAATTTAGGTTTTAAGAAGTACCTTATGAGAATCAATAATGGTACAGTAAAATAGCTGTATATAAGATAAATATACAACAAAATTATGTTAGGAAGTTTAATTTTTTAAGAGCCCAGTCCTTGACAGCTCTAGTATATATTCCATAGTCAAATAATGGAGTAACTAGTAACAACGTGGAGCTTTGCGAGGGAGCAAATATACAAATAAATGAAAATGTACCAGGTTCCTGGGTGGGAAAACCATCATAAATCCTCTGTTTAATTTACAAGTTTAGTTTCATTCTCAATGAAAATTCCAGTAGAATTTGATAAAATTAATGCAGTGTTTATGTTGTAGAATATTGATAATAATTGATAAATAAAATAATAAAAAGGGATCTAGTCCTGTCCAATGCTTGTACTAACAAAGCAGGAATAATGAGAACATTATCAAGTTAAATAATACTACAAGAATTTGGTATTAGTAAAGACTAATTTAGAACTACTATAAGAAAAGCCATATCATTGGAAGAAAATAAAGAGCTACCCTATAAGAATGTAATGCATGGCAAAATAATGAGGGAAATTATATATTTTTTAATAAATGATTTTGAGGAAACTGATTGTTTAGAAGCAAAATCAGTTTATATTCATTCCTAGTGTTACATTTATTTGCACTTCTGTTAACCATTTTTAAGCAATATAATGGAGTGAATGGCTGTAAAAGCAAAGAGAATAAACTGTTGTCTAAGAATAGTGGTGTTTCTCACCTATACTTAAAAAAAAATAATTTTAGATCACTGGTTATTTAATTAATGAAATTAATATAAACTTTATTTAATGAATTTCAGTCCTGTACTCTTCTATACCTTATGATTGTTAGTGCCTGCTAATATTAATTATGTGTTTATTTGTTTGTTTGTTTTTAAAGATTTTATTGGGGAATTGGGGGAAGGGAACAGTGCTGGGGAATCGGGGGAAGGGGAACAGACAAGTTGCTGTCCTTTTGTTCTTCAGTCTAGTTGTGGAGGACGTTGCTTCACTGGCCCAAG